AGCCAGTTGTATGAATGTACATGCGTATATTAAATTCACCCTCGCTACCCGGTCCAGTGAATACCAACGCACTTAACCGGACCTATTACTATAATTACAACAGATGCCCTCCCGCCGCCATCCTTCTACTGCAAGTACGCGGTGAGCCAGGCGAAAGCTAGCGGTGGGTCTATAGTCAAGGATTACCGTTTACGCTTGGAGAGATTCACTATTGAGAAAATGCTGAAATTGGTATCGAACAGTTATTTCCGCGGGCTTCAATTGGAGAGGCACCAGCCCGCAGGCAGCGATTGTGATAGTAGGGTCGACACACCACTGTTTGAATATAGAAGGTGCTTGGCTTTGGGCACTCACAAGAGTATAGGACCCACTGTGGTTGATTTCTATGGAAGTATTTTTTATAGTATTGAACATGGTTGTGTGAGACTGCATTGTTGCTACAATGTTGTATAATATGCATTATTGAATTCTGTCAAATGTCATTATCATAAAAAATACCATATTTATATATAGATATATATATATATATATAATCGGATTCGCATTTGGAAGCACCGTGCGCCTGCAACTCTCATGTGTTAGTACTCGATGTTCGCATAGCTATCTCTACTCCACATCGACGTATCTATATCAAACTGTTGGGGGGTGGTGGGCCCCCTAGTGGTGTACACCGTTGAATTGGCCATATATTTTTAGTAAATCTTAAATCGATATTTTAGTATCACCAAATGTTAGCCTACCAGCCTATATGTGATCTCAAGCATTCTTGTTTTCCTTCACACGGGAGTCCATATCACCAGGTACACGTTTACCCTAAAACCCTATAACCCTACAACCAGACTCCTCTACCCAATCGCAACCCCAACTCATGGGACCTCTGTCACACAGGAGTCACCCACGTGCCTGGTTGCTTTCAACTCCGTTCATTATGACCACATCTTCAAACCCCTAAACCCTAAAATCCTAACCCTAAAACCCTACATTAAAGCAACCCAACCCTAAAGCATTAAACCCCATGTGTCACGCAGGAAATACTTGCGAGCCTCGTTTCCCACCGACCCCTACGCGCCCGTACACGTGTTCACACACGTGTGTTGCGCGGTAACCATGGCGACGAGTGTGAGGTCTGTCTTCACCAGCATCGGCCAAGCCACGGGCATCGTTGAGTATCTGTGTAAGAGTGTTGTGGACACCACCTTGTATGGAGAACACACGCCCCAGGCACAGGCAATGGGCGACCGTCTGGGGGTCTACACCGAAGCACTTCGAGCCCTAGACTTCGTGATGTGGTATGTGATGTGGTATGTTTGTGTATGTGGCTTTGTGTGAGCCTGTGTGTGTGTGTGTGTGTGTGTGTGTGTGTGTGTGTGTGT